GATCTGAGTTGCTTAATTTTACCATGGAGGTATATTTTTATACCTCCATGCTTTTACATGCTTTCACCAGAGATCCTACCTGTGTGCTTTTACAATTATTTTTAATATTAGAATTCTGATAACAGAAAATATCAGTCTTCTGCCCTCCATTATATTTCTTCATTTTCGGCAAATCTATACAATGCCATTTCATTTTTTATTTGAAATGCATTAAAAAAAAAAAACCTCAAAATACAACGCTTAGCTTATATAATTATACCTAAAACCTCAAATAGAAACACAATTGGCTTAATCTCAAGCAAAGCCCATCTCGAATTGAAGCCCCCCTTTTTAGTTAGCAAAAGTAGCCTAGAAAAGAAGCCCATCTCGAGAAGAAGCCCATGGAATTCTTTTCACTGTTTCCTGGTAGGCCTACGTGAATTTTTGAGAAACAACATACAAATTCAAAACGCGCTTGGTTTATACGTTAGCTTAAGTGATTTAATGCCGGTTTATACACCCCATGATACAGAACGATGTATTATATTGTTACTCTTTAAGTTAATTTTAATTTAATTTATTCACATAACGCTTCGAATAATAATGATACAAAATAAAAGCATACAGTGTGTAAATTTTCTGCAGTGCATTGTAAGCCGCTGGATTGTTCTCACTATTTTGTAATTTTGTGAAAATTATAATATAATTTTTAAATGTTAAAACAAATTTCATAAATCACTATTCATATAAAATTTAAACTATGTACGTGGAATGAATACTTAAGAAATTGTACAAAGTTGTAAAAATGTGAATATTTTAAAACGTCATAAATACACCGTTAAAAATAGTTAAAAATGAATATTTAAGGTTAAAGATTATTCATTTATATTGCGCAAAATACGAGAGTCTCTATGCGCAGAACAAGTGAGCAGATGTAACTGGAAAATAATATATAACTCCCTGAAACTGATGATTTAATAAGCCTACCTAGAAGATGTGTATTATATATATATAATAAACAATTTTAGTAAATCTTTTAAAAGTTAAGTTAAATTTTTTTGTGATAATGATATTCTTCTGAAATATGCATTCACGTCAATGAAGTTCAAATAACACATTTAATTAAACCAAAACCTTTATTGACTATAAATGTTCAAGAGTAGGTAGGTCTATGTTGATTTAGTGTGAATATATTCTGTTTAATGTTGATCAATTTTAACTGTAATTCTAATTTTAAAAATCTAATGTATAAACATGTTTGCCTGTTACGTTGATTTTGTTATTCAAATTGAATCTGATTAATATTTCATTTCATTTATTATTTCCAGGCAATATAAAATACAAAAACCAAAGACACAGCCTGAGGATAACCTAAAGCAAACTTAATTACTATCGAGAGGTTCTCCAAACAGAAACAAGACAACAAACACAAAAATAAAAATAGCAAGCTTAAATAAAAGAACCGCACAGAATAACAATAAAATTTAAGAAACCAGTCAATATTTAAAAAAAAAAAAAATTCTTCCCTTCTTTTTCCTTTCCTCTTTTCTTCTTCTTCTTCCCCCTCTTTTTTATTCATTAAATAAATGGTTATGAAGATGGTACTTAAAATTATGATTATTAATTAGAAGGCCTCTGACAGCAGGTGGTAAAATGTTCCAAATGTACGGAAAAAATTAAAGCACGAAAATTTATGGCAATCAGTTCTGGCATATAAGATTTTAAATCTGAAGTCATCGGCATGTCTAGTATTATTTTGAGGAATGAGAACAGGGTTGACATTAAATTGACGATGTATGCATGATAAAATAAACGATAATAAGAGATATTTCAACCGGGTGGCAATGTGAGTTGTGTTAAGCATAATTAATCTCTCTTCATAATTAAATGATTGAAAAAACATAACCCAAAACAGACTCAAGTAAAGCGTATTTGAACTTTTTTTAAAGCATTAATATGGTTATTTTGATATGGATAAAATGCAGGAACATCATATTCGATCGAGAATAGGCCTACATAAAGCATTATATAATAACATGAGAGTAACAGGGTTAGAACAACGAACTGTACATCTAATAAAGCCAGAATTACACATCAAGATCAAGATGTAACTAATGCTGCTCGTCTTACTGTACCTCACCGACTCAGATTGACACCTGGACTTTAGCATCAGTAGCCCGGTTATTCACTCAAATTGAATAACTATGAAACATTGCATTGCTTAATAATTTAAAAATTGCGAATTAATAAATTGTAGGAACTGCTCCCTAAATTTCAAAGATTTACAAGCAATTGATTAACCACAAACCTAAAGCTCACTTTAGTAAAATTATTATGGATATAAGATTGTTATGATTATGACGTATACAGTAATATGAAAGGCCTAGTATATGACATTCGTTGATCATCACATTACAGTGCAGATAGCAAAGTTGCAAGCAGAGAGGGCGCCATTCCGTATTGATTGAATTGAATTATGATTGGACGACCTGGTCGTCGTGGACGGTACTATGGAGTTGTAAATACTGCCTGTGTTGCAGAAGTAAACAGCAGTAATTTACAAAATGTTTGACGTAGCATTAATGGATGCTGGTGCGCAGGTTGTTCTAGCAACATCTAGTGACGAGAATCACCCACCAGAAAATATGCTTGATGGGTGAGATTGCAAGTATTCTTAATCCTAGGCCTAATTAGTGATGGTGGGTAGTTAGAAGTACAAGTAGTAGTCTACCCAGTCTCCTGACTGTGGTACCTGCGGCCGGTTCCGCCTAGGCTAATAATTTATTGCTTCTGGGGCCAAGACTTGGGCTAAGCCTTTCGGATTCTTTCTACCCAAGTCCTAAGTAGGACGGTACTATGCCTGTGCTGAAACTTTAACCAGTTTTTCATAGGCCCGTGATAGCCCGTGAAAGCACACAACGTTCTCATGGGAATTTTTAAGGTATAACATAAATAACAATATTTATTAACTCCCTGAAACTGATGATTTAATAAGCCTACCTAGACTAGGGCATAGGCCTAGCCAAGCTAGCACCTGCCTAACAGAGCTTGGACCAATATTCGTCACCATCCAATTTCTAATTACCCTATAAATATCAAATGTTATAGTCTATTATTGTGGCAGTTTATTTTAATAATATGAGTTGTCTATAAAAGCTAAGAAACACAACCTCATCATCATCGTCATTATAATAGTATTCTATGTTTTCCCCATTGTACATTTACAGGAGTTTGGAGACATTCTATACGACCACAGGAATGTTCCCTCAGGAATTTATCATCTCCTTTCAATCGCTGATGAATATTAATAAAATAAAACTACATTCCTATCAGGGTATGTATCTCCATCTTATTATTTTGATTGTTATTTTATGTTCACTCATTTACATAAATTCAGACAAAAATTATATTCACAGAATGAAAGCTCCATGCTGAGTTATAAAACTGCCATGGAGTGGAGATGATGTTCTTAGATGTAATCCTAAGCCACACCCCTTGGATACTGTTACTGAGGTCCCACATATCCTTTTTTCAATCTTAAACAAAATAGAAAATGTGCGATTATTAGAGTACGAGCAAATGTCACTGATGTATTTCACTTCCGCCGTGTACACAATAGATTGACGTAAATAGATCATGTCCCGACTTGATGACAAACTTCAAATGATGTGCTGTGGTTGCTTCAAACTATAGACTTAAAAAGCATGAATTATACTTACTATGAGATATAAGCAAAATAAAAATTAGTATAAAAATCTGAATGGTAGAAGCTAAGACAATAACCTTGCCTATATATTATGGCCATAAACTAATTAATTATCTTGCTGCACATTTTTTTAATATATGCAAACATATGCAAGTTAAAGTAAATTCTGAATTTGGATTGGTTTACAGCAGTTACAGATTAACATAATGATCCTAGGCTTAACTCCTAGGAATGGGCTAGCATCTCTAACAAAACTATGTAGTAAATACAGTACTATTTTCACTATTATTCGAATGGAGAAATTGTTACAGACTCTGACACAACATTTGCCAGAAACTGTGACATGCCCTGTGACGCAACCTTACAAAACCAAGACATGTACCATTAATATTAATATACAAGACACAGTGACAGTGAAGGGTGTTATTTAGCCAGGATACATTCGACAGTTGTCTTTGTCCCAAAAAAGAAAACAAAGGACATAAACACAATATATATCTGCAGACTGGCACTCACCCACCACACCTCTCCCAACTCTCTCCAAATTATCTCTGAATTTCAAGGGTGGGGCAGATGTCCTAATGATGGAGGTAGGAGAGAGATATCCTCAACGGGAGCATAAGTGAGCAGTGTCAAGCTGGCCTAACCCCCAATCCCTAACCAACAATTCAGAATTGACAACAATTTAAAAATTTGAAAGGCTTGTTTAATGATCGACACCATCACCGGTAACTTTTCATGTATTATCCTATATGTCATAAGTAATAATGAATATATTTTGTGTTTTTTTTATTTCTAGTGAATGAAGTCAGTGTTTCCAGAAGTGTGCAAAACGACAAGACAGACTTTGAAACATTGGCTGACAAGGCATTCACAAAAACAGAAGGATCACTGCAGAATGAGGAATTCAGTGTAAGTAACAATATTTATAAAATTGTGATGTGCTTATGTGTTGCATTATTGATAAGTAGATTAAGTTTGAGCTAAATAATTTTAATGAGTATATTAAATATATAGTGAAACTAGGCGTATGTCCTTTGAAAAATTTGAAATCAAGGTCGCTTAGTCAGTTATGTTTTTTTTTTTTCTGTAGGTGTAATTCAAGGGCGCGCACCAGTCATTATTTATTTTATTTTTTTCTCGAGTTATTAGTGGGCAAAAATTCATGGTAAAGTTATTAAATTAATGAAAACTTAAGTATGTCCTTTGTCAAAACATCACAAGTTACAGGTATTTTGGGCAACAAATTTGTTTTTCAAATTAAAAACTACAGTAACCTTAGTTTTGCCCTTATCAGTAATTATCATTATCATTATATTAATCTGTAGCTGGTGTAAACCAATTCGAATTCAGAATTTACTTTAATTTGCATATGTTTGAATTTATTAAAAAAATGTGCAGCAATATAAATAATTAGTTTATGGCCATGAAATATATATGATGAGGCAAGGTTATTGTCTATAGCTTCTACCATTCAGATTTTTACACTAATTTCTATTTTGCTTATATCTATTTATATAGTGAGTATAATTCATGCTTTTTAAATCTACAGTTTGAAGCAACCACAGCACATCATTTGAAGTTTGTCATCAAGTCGGGACATGATCTCTTTACGTCAATCTATCGTGTACACGTTGACGGAAGTGCAATACATCAGTGACATTCGCTCGTACTCTAGCAATCGCACATTTTCTATCTTGCTTCAGATTGAAAAAAAAGTTTTTTCAAAGATATGTGGGACCTTAGTAACAGTATCCAAGGGGTGAGGCTTATCGAAACGGCATCCAAGAGGCAGGCTTATTGGAACAGTGTCCAAAGGTCGGGCTTATTGGAATGGTATGCAAGGGGTGTGGCTTATCAGAATGGTATCCAAGCGTCGGGCTTATTGGAACAGTATCCAACGGTCGTGCTTTTTGGAATGATATCCAAGGGTCGAGCGTATTGGAACGGTATCCAAGGGTCGGGCTTATTGGAACGGTACCCAAGGGTCGGGCTTATTGGAACGGTATCAAGGGATGTTTTGCTATGTTTAATTATAATAGTTTAATATATAAAAGTTTAATAATAATAATAATAATAATAATAATAAGAGTCGGGCTTATTGGAACCAAGAGTCGGGCTTATTGGAACGGTATCCAAGGGATGTTTTGCTATGTTTAATTATAATAGTTTAATATATAAAAGTTTAATAATAATAATAATACTATAGCGTGTGTATGTGTATTAACAGTGCCGTAACAGTTATAGGCCCTCACTGGCTAAAGCGGGGGGTCCTGTACTTTAAGGGGCCTGTTTATCCGAACGGTATCCAAGAGGCAGGGCTGATCGGAATGATTTATTACTGAAAGGTTTCACATGTCACAAGATGCAAGTTTTATGTTTTGAATTTAGCTAACTGTACTTATCCTTGTGTTGCTTAATAGCATGGCTATGTGTATGTTTAACTGCTGTAGGCTCTTACTGCCTAATTCCTGTCTCTTATACACATCTAGATGTGTATAAGAGACAGTTCCAGAAGTGTGCAAAACGACAAGACAGACTTTGAAACATTGGCTGACAAGGCATTCACAAAAACAGAAGGATCACTGCAGAATGAGGAATTCAGTGTAAGTAACAATATTTATAAAATGGTGATGTGCTTATGTGCTGCATTATTGATAAGTAGATTAAGTTTGAGCTAAATAATTTTAATGAGTATATTAAATAAACAGTGAAACTAGGCGTATGTCCTTTGAAAAATTTGAAATCAAGGTCGCTTAGTCAGTTATGTTTTTTTTTTCTGTAGGTGTAATTCAAGGGCGCGCACCAGTCATTATTTATTTTATTTTTTTCTCGGGTTATTAGTGGGCAAAAATTCATGGTAAAGTTATTAAATTAATGAAAACTTAAGTATGTCCTTTGTCAAAACATCACAAGTTACAGGTATTTTGGGCAACAAATTTGTTTGTCAAATTAAAAACTACAGTAACCTTAGTTTTGCCCTTATCAGTAATTATCATTATCATTATATTAATCTGTAGCTGGTGTAAGCCAATTCGAATTCAGAATTTACTTTAATTTGCATATGTTTGAATTTATTAAAAAAATGTGCAGCAATATAAATAATTAGTTTATGGCCATGAAATATATATGATGAGGCAAGGTTATTGTCTATAGCTTCTACCATTCAGATTTTTACACTAATTTCTATTTTGCTTATATCTATTTATATAGTGAGTATAATTCATGCTTTTTAAATCTACAGTTTGAAGCAACCACAGCACATCATTTGAAGTTTGTCATCAAGTCGGGACATGATCTCTTTACGTCAATCTATCGTGTACACGTTGACGGAAGTGCAATACATCAGTGACATTCGCTCGTACTCTAGTCGGGCTTATTGGAACAGTATCCAACGGTCGTGCTTTTTGGAACGATATCCAAGGGTCGGGCGTATTGGAACGGTATCCAAGGGTCGGGCTTATTGAAACAGTACCCAAGAGTCGGGCTTATTGGAACGGTATCCAAGGGATGTTTGCTATGTTTAATTATAATAGTTTAATATATAAAAGTTTAATAATAATAATAATAATAATAATAAGAGTCGGGCTTATTGGAACGGTATCCAAGGGATGTTTTGCTATGTTTAATTATAATAGTTTAATATATAAAAGTTTAATAATAATAATAATAATACTATAGCGTGTGTATGTGTATTAACAGTGCCGTAACAGTTATAGGCCCTCACTGACTAAAGCGGGGGGTCCTGGACTTTAAGGGGCCTGTTTATCCGAATGGTATCCAAGAGGCGGGGCTGATCGGAATGATTTATTACTGAAAGGTTTCACATGTCACAAGATGCAAGTTTTATGTTTTGAATTTAGCTAACTTTACTTATCCTTGTGTTGCTTAATAGCATGTTTATGTTTATATTTAACTGCTGTAGGCTCTTACTGCCTAATTCCAGGGGTTCTGGTGCCTGGATTTTAATTAATCAGCATTTTTTGCCAGGACAACAGGCACCAAATGGCCATTGGGCCTCTTAGTATTAGCAGAACGTATAAAACAACATGAAGCCAGGGAACAGTTAAATTTAATTGTTTGCTATTATTGATATAATGTGTAGCGTTTAAGATATACTGTGTCACACGAGTTAAAACCAATTAAAAAAATCAGTTTTGTACTGTATTTGAATTACTTACTTTGTATTGTACATAAAAATTTCCCTATTAAGTAAATACAGTATTAATACCTTTCCTGTATTCTTTTACACTGACTGGTAAAATGACAACAGCAAATAACAGGTTTGTTTTTTTATCTGTTTTTTGTTTGAAGTTTATTTGATCTCCTCAAATGAGTTAAGTTTTATTTGATTTTTTTTTTGGCAGGCAGTATAGATTTTAGATAAATAATTTATTATTTTTTTTATTTTATTTTTATTTATTTATTTTTTATATCAACAATATTTAAAGAGGGTAAGACTTTCAACTTCCCCAAAGGGAGGTTGATTTTCAGGGCCCCTCTTAAATAAATAAGATACAACATATAAACAACCACTTAAGTACAAAAATAACCTAGACATATAAATATAATATGAATGAATAAAATAAATAAATAACAAATGCAAAAATCATTATTTGCTTAGGTAGGTATACATTGTAGGCTCTATATCAGGTGGTTAGACTGTTGTGATTAAACAAAAGGAACACACTTTCACCTGGTTAAACCCTACCTGTTTTAGTTCATTCAGTTTAATTCATCAATATGTACCTTTGTTGTTATGATAAGTACTTTGATATAATAGAGCCTCTCAATAAAATGTATTGCAGTGCTGTAGTATCATTGTTAATTACTGTATTAGTAAATTAGGGGGCTTTCGATTTTTTCGACGACGCGACGGCTAGAACGGAATCACTTATGCGTGACCGTCCTACCGGCATCTACGTTTTCTGCATACGTAGATTGCACCAAATTGCGTCCTAGAATCCACGCGACGAGGAGAACTTAACGTTCTCGCATGCGCAGAAGACTTTTAATGTCCGTTTTACTGACGTCCTACCGTCGTCATGCAATCGGAAGCTCCCTATTATGTATATGTATGTACACCTTGTACTGAACCTTGTGACCTTGTGTCTTTGAGGAAAGACCCTTTACATTTCGTGATACATATATTTTTTCAGTCTTCAGATTTGTATTAATGTTATATTAAATAGATTGTACTATTACCATACACAGATCCGCTTACATACTAGTATATTATATGTTGTTATATAGTATAAATTTAAGAAAGATGATGGGCAAATACAGCAACCAGTATTTAGTATAATGACAAGTTCTTTGTCCACTATCAAATTGTATGTGACAAGTAACGTGTGACATGCCCATATTGGATGTAATATAACACCATCATGCCCAATAGGCCATTACTTAAGATTTTTGCCACGCAAGCAAGCTAGCCGCGCATATTGATGTACGCAAGCAAGCCGCGCATTTTGACGTACCATGAGCGGTTTTAAACCTTATTGACTCAACTCTGCCGGACACCTAGGCTCCGGGTCCTTGTCAGCTGCATCTTGCTTGTATCTTGCTGCAATCAGAATGTTTTATTTATAAAGCATGTTCTGCATTTGTTCTTTAAGCAAAATAAACATTGTGAATTGTACTATCTTACTCCAGTTTCCCAAGTATATTTTTTAACATTTATTCTCATCCACCTACTACGCGGTGTGTTTTATATACAAAAGCCAAAGGCATATGCTATTATAATTCTTTCTGCCGAAGTCAATATTTAATCAGACTATGAAGCAGGGCATTGTGTTTGATGAAACGAGCATATACACCAAACGTAATAGTACATTTGAGTCTGACAGACTCAAAGATAGTGCGTTTCAAAACCTAATGTCGTGTTTTAGTCATCAGAAAAATCCTCGTCGTAAAATTTGAAATATTGCACAATATTTTTATGTTAATTTTATGTTACGGATTCGCATCACGAAAGTGCACATGCCCAAGTTATTTAAGCGGCCCAAATATTCAAAACACAGATTAAATCCGTATTAAAACACCAACAATGACTTTGGCCTGTAAAGGCACGATTATTGTCTTTCAATAGGCCTACGAAAATGACAGCAAAGAATCAAAAATGTTATAGCTAAAATTTAAAAAAAATTTAGGCTACACAACATACAGAAATTAAGGCCAATATGACAGGAAATGAAGTAATAGAAAAATACAAAATAAATAAATCCATTTTTTTTTTAGGAACAAATGAACATTTGACTAATTATGAGACTCAATTTAGTGACCAATTAGATATCAATATCAAAAATATTACCAGCAACCAATAATAATAAACGAGTGAATAAGTTAAAATCAACGCACGAATTGAACGCCTGTTCAAAATCGATCGAGCACATCATACAACACCAGGCCTAAGCCACATGCGATATTCCCACAGTTTATTAATATTACTGACACGAAAGCCAGACTTTACCATAGCGTTCATAAGCAACCTCGGAGATGTACTTCTCGCTGATTCTAATTCTGTTTGCCGCTTGTGCCTGTGAAGATATTCCGGACCTTGCCAGCAATGTGAACCCTTATGGAGAAGTGAAATATTCAAAGTTATCGAGATTAAATCCCGTATCCGTAAGTATTAACTGCAAAATATTTTGTTTCTATATGAATACGACAATAAAAGGGTTAACTGGAAAGTTAAATACAAAGACTACCGTAGTTAAGTTTAGTTGTGGCCTAGTTTTAGTTTTTATCATGATTTTTTACAGTGACACTTACCACATTGATGATGCATGCAGAGAAAAATTTAAAAATCTAAAGATACGGTACATGTACATTTACCTTAATCAAATTATATCAAGGTATCTTTGTTTACAAGAAAAAAAACCACGTAACTACAATAAATTAAACACCTGCTTCTCAAACTTTTTTAGGTGGCGACCCACTTTCAGACTCCCTGTTCTTTGGCGACCCAAGGTATATAATATAATACCATCAGTGGCGTAGGTATGGGCAGTGGAAGTGTAAAACACTGGGGCCCTTGGCCACTGGAGGCCTGTTCAATAGGTCCTTCTAAATATTTAACTTAGAAAATGCGTACTTAAATTTTAAAAGGACCACTCGATGATATTGGGTTTTACATGCCAGCGTCTGTTTAAAAGCCATAAACAGCTGCGTATTATACCTCCATGGTATTATCTTTGGAATTCATTCAAGGCTATTTTTCATTCAGGTATAACGTTGGCTACGATGCACTATAATACCCTTTTCTGAAAGTATATTTCTAAAGCAATTCAAATGTCTGCAAGCAGGTCTTTGTTTGAATTTTAAAAGTTTGTTAAACTATATTGTTCACGTTTTTAATTCTCGTCTGGCGATCATAGTTCATGAATACATTTTACATTTACTTCACTGCAATTTTGGTTGATGATTGTTTCTATTGTTGTCAATGGGTTTATTCGACTGGTTCATTTCGTTGAGTACGAAATTTTCGTTGAGTATTAATTTCATTCGACTGGTTCGTAAAATATACTTCGTTGACAATGAAAATTAATGTAACCAGAATGCGTTAATCAGCGTTAAGTTATGCACGTGACCAAAAAAATATGGCCGATTGGTCAGTTTATTTAGATTAAATTTCAGAAAATAAAAATTATAATATTTAAATGTTGAAGCTTGCGGTACAACACGTAGGTAGTTCTGAAAAGAACTGTTGTAGTTGAGAAAGTCTCGACGTTTCCATTGAGTTGCTTCAATCGTCTTCAGGAGAATCAGAACTACCTACGTGGTGTACTGCAAGCTTCAACATTTATGTTAATACTTCGCCATGCAAACCTTCAAACAATAATAATATTTACCCACATTGAAGTCAAAAAATAATTGTAGGCTAACAGCATTAAAAAACTGGATGAAAACATTTTTTTACGAAAAACCGCCACAATCCGAAGCAGCCTTGATTGCGCAGCGTGTATCGCGGTAACTATGCAGCCATTTTGTTTTGTCGAGTATTACCAGTTTTCTATTCGACGGGTCGTCTTCGTTAAGTAGGATTTTACCACCAGTGCGCAGGTGGGCATGGTTTAACGAAGAACGATCATCGAATACGGCCATAGCGCATGCATTAGGCACTTTACACAACAGGACGGGAAGACGGGTGGACGGTGGTTTTGTGCTCATCAGAGCGTGAAGACCACAGTAAACAATAGGGCACTCAATCCGAATTTCCGTTCTCAACGGCTCCCCGTCCTCTGACGTAAAGTGCCTATTATCAGGGACTCATTATGTCCAATAGGTCGCAGTGTACGCAAGAGCTAGATGTTAAACGAACGAGTTGTCAGGGAAAATTTATGATGCAGAGATAGAAGTAGATGATCTTACTGAAAAAGGTAGATTGTTTCAGAGACAAGCAGCAGTGGATTTAAAGGTGCTCCACCCGTAGGTTTTGGTATTATATGATGGGACATAGAGGAGGATTTGGGAGGAGACTCCTCCCAAAGGTGACGAAGCGGACGGTAACGAGGAAGAAGTTCAGCAAGTTACTGGGGAAGCTTAAATGGATTGCTTTAAAAGTTAATAAAAGTAGTTCATAGATAATGCGTTTGTCGACAGGAAGCCAATCGAGAGACGAATTACTATGGACGTTCCATAAATTACTGGGGTAATGTGACTATCTTTGAGTCAAATTACAGACACGGGCAGCATTATTTTGAATTAATTGAAGACGCTTGATTGAATATGTGGAAAGGTTGAACAGTTAAGGCGTTGCAGTAATCGAGTTTAGACGAAACACCAGCTTGGATAAGTGATTGAGAAATAGCTAGCAATTACAAAGACATTATAATTGTAAGGAACTAATATAATAGCCTAATCAGAAATATAAATGATGATAAGAAATGGTGATGGTGGATGGTGGCGGTGATGTGGTGCTGATGATGATAATGATGGTGGTGCTGCTGATGGTTATAAGGAGGAGGAAGGCGATATTTTCATCACTGTGAAAATCGTTGATGATATATACTGTAATGATGATAATGGTGGTGATGATAATGATGATGAATGATGACGACGACGATGATGAAGATGATGATGACGATGATGATGATGATGTTAAGAATATTTTGATCACTGTGCAAACCGTTAAGGCCACTATTGTTTTTTTTTTCATTGTAGGTTGGCCATGAGCAAATAATGAAAACGGAATCTGGTAAAACACTTACAATAAAGACAGCAGCCGTGAACCCACCTATATTTGGTAATTTTTCTAGCTGTAGTTGATTTATATTTTAGAATAAAGGCTACATTTTCATATAAATAATATTTTTTTATTTTAATCATCAAAATATGTACTCTACATGCCAAGTACACTGTTATTTTAACTTCAAATGATATTCTGCACTTTTGTAGTTTAAGAGAGCAGGTTAGCTTAGTCGGCAAATCTGGTAGTGCCATTGTATGTGCGTTGAACCGTGGAGATCTCTAGGTACCCTGTTCAATTTTTTGCCTCTCCTTGTGTTTCAGCTGGAGGGCTGAAATACAAGTTACAATAGCGCACTGTCTTTTGGATGAGAAGTTTAAGCCTTTGGGCCCGTGTGCATTTAAGGCCCATGTGCACGTTAAAACACAGTACACTCTTCGGAAAAGTGTAGGGGATTGTCTCCCGGTGCTCAATCACCACCAGAAGGACCCCACTGGAAAAAGTCTTCTTCTAGACTTTCGTGGGCTCTCCTTGGTGTTTACACCGAATAAATCCAATCCAATCCAATCCAAGTAATTCTCTGAAAAGCCGTGTGGCCTGCATAACACGTCACCTTTAAAGTTATGTTATATTGGTAACATTTTGATTGAAGTTATGTTAATATTCCATTATCACCTTACCATAATCATTATCATCTACATCATCATCATTATTATTAATATTACTGTAATTATCAATTTTGAATTCAACTTTTATTTCGGAATCACATATCCTTATCAATACAATAACAAAAGAAAAAAACAAATATCAGATACAAAGACTATGCATTCAGGAGTAGGGACATACTTCCCTAAGGTCCAAATGATCCACACACCCCACCCTAAACAAACTATGCATTACACCTTTTTTTTTTAATTTTTTTTATAAGAGCACATTTTATAAGATCACTGAGGCTGACATTGCTTAAAAAAGTAAGAACAAAATAAGAACAAATTGAGGCTGAATTAAATTTCAAATGAGGTTTATATTTTTAAAAACCAAAATAGTATATCTGTACAATATGTGCAGTAGGTGTGACTGTAATACCCTCTATAATACAGTACAGTAGTAGGTGTACCTATCTGACATTTGGGGGCCATTTTTTGTGGGGTCACTTTCACCTACATTCCATTCCAGTACAGTGCATACTGCCGTACAATTAAATAATTTTTTGTTTAAAAGGTGTGTAAACTAAGAAAAAAATAAGAACATTTTGAGCCTGAAATCGGCCAAAAAATAAGAACACTGAGCCTGGGCAAAATTTTACTGATTCTTATAAAAAAAAAAGTGTACAGGGCTAACTGAACTAATTACTGGGGTAGAGGCGTTACTCCATTAAGGTGCTATTGACCCGCATACCCCAATGATGTTCAATCAAGTTCAACCGTTAAACATATAGGAGGTCTCTCCACATAGGCCTAGCTACCAACTCGCATTGTGCGGAACGGTCCCGCATTTTAAAGTGATTTTGAATGAAACACGCATTTTGTGGAAAAACATGAGTGATCATAAATTTGTCACGCATTTAGCACAAGTCAATGTGTGATAACGAATTCAGGGGAAATGTATTTAAAATTAGAAGAAATTGGTTTTATTAAATATATAAAGAAGGTAGCTTTCGTTATCTCGTTCGTTTCGAGAATTAATTCAGCAGGGAAAATTACCGTACTCTTTCCCCACCAAAACAACCCAGTCAATTTAGTAGAATCTAGTCGCGTGCGGTCTTACGCGTTCATTGTCACAACCAACCGTTGATGTGACTGGAACCGGCCCACACCGAGGTTCCTCCCCTAGAAACCTGGGGCTCTGGCGCCCCCCCCCCCCACTTACAATCTCTCAGGTTGGTAAATGCTCCATCTGCTATACATCTTGGAATCCAAGAGAATAAGTTTATATTCAACTGTATTGTTTTTCATTACGTTACATATAAGCCTTTATTATTATTATTATTATCATATTTATTATTTTATTATTGTAATTAATAGAGATAGAGAATTATCTTACCGACGCTGAATGTGAGTATATCAAAGGCCTAGCCGAGAAGAAAGCAGACTGGAAACAAAGCATCACTCTACCGAATGACGGCCTTAAAGGACATTTCGAAGGAGGCCATAAATTAAGTTTCGAGACCGCCGACAAAAACAATGATGGTGTTGTAGACGTGTTAGAGTTTTGGAAAGTAAGTATGAAATGCCAAAGGCAACTTTAAACGCAGTCGATTTTCAAGCACACTCGATTTACTGTCGATTTTCCATAGGTAAGGCCTCCTGTACAGAATTCTATGATAACCATTGAAGATATACCAGAATTTCTTCAGCTCCATAATTACGATGAAGACGGAGACGAAAAATTGACGGCTTCCGAATTTTCGAAAATTGACGTCAAACTGATGTATCAGTGAAAACTAACACCATAAAACGAATGGCACGCATAGACTAATAATTGACGGCTGTACTCGCAACTAGTATCGGATTGTCGATGCCACAGTAAGGACTGTACGCACGCGCTATGTTCGAAAGCGGAGATGTGCGTCCTTTTGTTGAATTACCTTGTGTCGATTGACCGTGGATACAACTGGATACGCGCATGCGCATTTCATACCACGAATTGGCTTATTAAGCTGGTTTTCCACTAGGCGAATTTATTCGCGCGAATCAAAGCGTCGGTTCGCTTCCTGAGCTCTGATTGGTTGCGCATTTTTTCGCTTCGCAAAAACTCCGATAGGAATGTGAATGCGCATGCGCATGAACCGACGCTTTCGATTCGCGCGAATAAATATGCCTAGTGGAAAACCGGCTTTAGAAAAGAAATGTCACGCGTTAATAATTTTTTTTTGTTTCAGATTGTGTATTATGAGGTTGGGGGACACTATCATGCGCACTTTGATACTTCAGCTCATAGCAAAAGCATTCCGTGTATAAATACCCGTGAATTAGACGGAGTAGATGGAAACGCTAAACTCGATTACAGTAATTATCGATTATGTAGGTACGTCGTAATTATCGATTATGATAGTCAATTCCGGTAATCATGTAAGCATGATGCATTTCAAGTGAAATAACTAAAAACCAAATTGATCTTATCGTAATGTTATAATGTTATATTAACGATTTTCAGCCTCTACGTTATTTTGCTGATGTAGGCATACAGTATACTGGTACTGGTACAAATAGCCGTCTTTTCTAAAGACTTTAACAGACATTGACTTGACGTCATTAGTAAGATATTGCTTTTACAACACAATAACGTTGCAGAGCAATGCTACTGTATACAGTATTTATTAGGTCTATCTATTTATTTTAACTTCAGTCAACAGCAAAATCGCCAATACCAGTGTAGGCCCTACCGACCAACAGAATTATCTGCACAGATGGTTTAATTGGCAACGGATCACTAGCTGTCTTTATAATATACAGTAAAGGCCTACAGGTTATAGCACTGTCGCCATGTAGAAAAGACGTTTGCTACAACTACCATGGCCCTGGTGTTCAGCCAGTCCGATGATGACGGCCCCCGGTCATCGCCTTATGTCACTGTTGTCTCCAGCCTAGAATGAATTAAATACCAATGGGTTACTTACTCCAACACGAGGCCATTGGATTAACAGTACTGTAATTCAATTATCATTAGAGATAGTTAAATGTAACATTATTGCAGATACTGTATTAACAAATGTACACACGAATAAGAACTATTTTATTGCAATTTTCATAAAAATATTGATTTATTCCCACACAAATAGAAGACTTGTCAATCAAATAAAAAAGTAGTACTGTATATATAATTCTAGATATAGGCCAATAGAGTAACAATAGTATACCTTGTATTACAGATATATAACAATTATGTACTACTTAAATGATGTTGAGGAAGGAGGAGAGACAGCATTCCCCATTGCCGACAATGCAACAGCTTCCGAGCAGGTAAGATGTTATTAGTTCCTATGCATGTAATGCAATAGGAACTATTATAACCACTCTTGCTATTTCCTATGTTTTTTATTGTTTGTAGTGTGTGCGTGTGTGTGTGTGTAGACATGTATGCAAATGCGCATGCGTCAAAGAAAAGTTTTCCGAAATTTTGTTTTACATCGCGATGCGATGCGAAGATCGATATGAAGTTTCTGCAGAGTTCAGTCAGGGCTCTCGCTAACCGACCGGAAAGTCGGCATGGTTGAAACTATTTTGGTTTTACGGCAAAAAAAACTGCTGTAGGCATAGGTATTCTGAAGAAGGCCTAAAATAAAACTAAAATGTTTTAATACTTGCTGAAATACATCGTTTTTTCATTTAGATCTCCATTTTTCACTAAGTCCATGCGACGTTTTTTTTCTGTTGTATACGTATGAGTAGTCATATGAAGGTACTATTATATCCCCGAAAGTTGGCTGTGCAGCAATGTACCCTTTGAATGCAAACTGAAAACAGGTGAAAATATAAAGGCAGCCGACTGTCGGGTACATAACGCCAGACTATCTAGCTTTCCACAAAAACATGAGGCCTAAGCTAGGCCTAGTTGAGTATTACTGCGATGCGAGGGTGGTTAGATCATTCAATCAATGATATCGTGTTATCGTCTAATACAATTAAATATTGTGTGTAATATTTAAGAATGCACCATGTGGGTCGCTTTCTTTGTTATGTCAGGGCTCGATTTAGTACTAGCCCGGCGTACAATGTCTAGTAAAAACCGCTCCGGGCTAGCCTATTTACTCCTCATGTTGCCCGGTTGTCTAGTGGAGAATTAGCAAGAAAAAAATTTTCATTTAAAAAAAAAAAACGGAACTTTCGAGACAATCCCTGCACAGGAGGTACCGCAGCCCAGAGAGTACACTCTAGTTAGCTTTCAGCTCTCCACATGCGTGAGTGTTTAATTATTAAGATGTTCCCCAAGTCATTCACCCACCAACCACTACTATGTGGATGGCATGTTATCTGTCTCTATAGAAGATCGTTTGATCGTTCAATCTGGTTAATTTAGGTAGTTAGAACATTTAATTTAATGTACAGTACTACCTTATATTCATATTATTTTCTCATAATGATATTTTTAAAATGTTCAACTTTTAATAATTAAGTACTTCAAGGCTATAGGTAGGCTAGCCTAGCCTAGGCCCTAGGTCTTGTCTAGGCCTGGTAGCCTAGCCTGGCCTAAGCAAGATTTATTGCCATTGGGGCGAGTGACTTGAGACCTAAAGATTTAACAGGTGCATTGTTTTGATTGATTTCTGGGCCCTTTGTTAAATATTAGATAGCCAAAGTTATAACCAGGGAGATGTAAAACATGCTCATCTGTCCTGTCCCTGTTATAACCAGAGTCGATTTTGCAGCATGGGTGATTTTTTTAAATTTATTTATTCAACAATATTTTGAGAGGGTAGCTCAAACAGCAAGAAATTGAAAATCAACCTTCAAATTTAATTGTCGCTAATAAATATTGTGAAACAAAATTTTTTCCTGTCTGTGGGCTAGTAAAATATTCTGTGGGCTAGTAAAATCTCTAGTAAATTAGCCCAGTGGACTAGTTACCAAAAAAAGTTAGGGCAAGCCCTGTATGTGGTAGTAGTATACGTAGCAGAGTGACGACAGCAAGCTAAGCTTAGCCCAGTGCCTAGATCGTGTACGTTCTTGATAATCGTAATGAAAACTTCGGGTGACAGACGATTTGGCCCAACTGGTGTGGAAGATCGGACCCAAGATATTTTCAAATAAATTGTAGTCCTTAGCAGGCCGCTGCCAGCACTCCCACTTTTGATATCGTTCCAAGCTACTGTAAAATGAAAATATTGTATACCTAGCAAGGCCCTATGCCTACGATATTTTGCTAAAAATGTTACTGTAATTTGCCTGTCGAATTACATTACCAATGTGGTCTGAAATCACATATAAGTATGTATGTTATAATGTATGTATGTATATATATATGTATAATTTTTGCATAAAATGGGTCCACTTTTTGAAAAATGCGTACAGATTTTTCATATTTTTGCTTAAAATGGGTTCACATTGTTTGAATTCACGCGTAAAGTGGGTCCACCCTGGCATTGGTTACACTGACAGTTAACCTATTAATTATAAAATCATGGGCTTTCGCTTTAAATCGGCGGAATAACATTAGCAGACGAGAGAACAACCTAATACTGGACGTAACTGATGGTCATTCACTTACAGTACGTAAAATTAATGCACAGAAAATCTACTTGACTCTTCACTCATAATTGATTTATTGAAAACACAATCAAAATACACACACATGCTTGTTGGCCAAGCCTACATAATGAAAGTTTGCAATTGAAACATAAATGAAATTAATTAATAATTATACAATTAAGTTAAAAAAGTAACAGTACGTAACATTTTGGTTAACTAGCAGCAATATTATCAGACTGCAGTATCTGTCTCTTATACACATCTAGATGTGTATAAGAGACGTGTTTTATTATTATATTATTATTGTAGTTGTTGTTGTTGTTAGTAGTAGTAGTAGTAGTAGTACTGTACTATAGTAGTAGCAGCAGTAGAAGTATATTCAGTTTCATTATAATCCTTTTCTTGTAGGTGTTATTTGCTGGAGGACAAATGGGGGATTTGAGTAATCATTGCAAGGACGCTAGATTGATAGTAACACCAAAGAAAGGCAAAGCTGTCATGTGGTATAACCACTTGTTGAATGAAGAGGGTAAGCCGAGTCTTGAAAAAGAAATAAAGACCATTACATTTCATAAAATTATACTCTGTATTGCAATCAATAATTATTTGATTTAAACGACAAGAAACTGACGTAGCAGTAGGAACCATTTAAAATCATGTTCCCTTGTTTCTTTGAGATACAGTAGAACCCCTATTAAGGAGACTACTTCGGCACCAAAAAAAGTGTCACCTTAATAGGGGTGTCCCCTGAATAGGGGCACCCCTATTCAGGGGACACCCCTATTCAGGGGACACTAACAAAAAATGCAAAATTGTCCCCTTAATAGGGGTTTTTGGCATGTTTTTATACAATCATGACATATAATTCTGTATAATTTTATTTTTATTGACATAACAATCAGCTAAGTAGAATTAGAACTAATTTATAGCAACAATTTTCAATGTAAATACAATACATTTATAATATGAAATCAGCACAAATATAATTAAACCAACCATAGTTTTTTATTTTTATTTTTATTTTTTAAATAAACCTAGAGGTCGGGGTTTCAGTCCCTCGCTGTACTGTACATTGCGCTTGTGTCCTTGAGCAACTAGGCACTTTATCTGCATTGCTTCTCCTGTATCACCTGTCTTGTCGGTCTTGTAGGTAGACCATACAGGCCTGTATGGTACATGTTATGCCCTCCCAATTTCATCAAACCACCACTGCGCGGTTCTCTCCACACATGAGTATATGGGTACCTGGTGGGATTGCCAACTCCTGCGATGTTTACCAGCAGCAACACTTAAAACATAAGGACCCAATGACCAGGGAAAAAGAAGCGCTTTGTATCTACTAAGAAAAGGTGTTGTATAAATGATGTAAATAATAAATAATAATAATAATACGGTGTTCCCAATATTATTTCATGATGCAATGTTAATGACCAAATATTCCTTTAATTTATTTAAAATTTGAGCTTTCTACTGGATTAACGTAGCATGAATAGAGTAACGACATAGAATTAATAGAGCATGTTGTGTTATGTAGGCCTATTAGAATCCTATACGAAGTACACGAAAAAAAAAAGGAAGACGAAATCCCCATGGTTAAGGGTCGAAATTGACAAGATTGGTTTATATGAAGTAACAGATTCAGTAGGCCTATACCAACGTTTACTCTAAGGATTCAGGGGAGAAAATTCTGGTTTATTGCTCAAAAGGTGTTAAAATATGAAGTTGAATGAATATTTCTTACTTTGAGACTGCTGTAGTTGTTGTGATACAATGATAAAAAAAATTAAGTGTCCCCTTAATAGGGGTTATTTGTCCATTTGGCACACTCAAAAAGTTTCCCCATCCCCTTAATAGGGGTGTCCCCTTAATAGGGGTTGACTGTAGTGTTAAAAGTGTCCCTTTAATAGGGATTTCCTCCGAATAGGGGTTTCCCAAAGGAGGGGTTCTACTGTACTTCATTCTAATAACATCGTCTTCTGGATGGAAGACTGTCATCCGCCTTTAAACCTTGGTAAAAAATGGCATAAATATAATGATGTAGCAGTGGTGGCGCCAGCGGTGGGTGGGGAAAGGAGCATCCACTCCCCACCCCCCTTCGTCAGACAGGCCTGGACCCCTTAATTATAATTATTTGTCTATCCAAATAACGTTATTTTGATTTCCAATCCCCAATATTGTGGTCGAAAAGCACATTTTGGACCATACTAAGCCATAAAAAAACCCCACCCTGTTAACTCTCCTCGTGAACCCTACCGTTGGCCCCTTGGTTCGGATATGTCGGACCCCTTGTTGACAAATTTCTGGTGCCACAGCTGTGACGCAGTCAATACTATACTGTTAGCAACTTAATTCACCCTTACCTTTTTAGGTTGGCTGGGTCAAAAGGATAGTTATTCTTTTCATGGAGGATGTGACATAAAAAAAGGCGTTAAATGGATCGCTAATCACTGGATACCGATTGACAGTGACAGGGAACGTCAACTTCGTTACTTGGACTTTTGTTATAAAAAATATCCAAATAAACGCACGATAAGCGACAATGATCAGGAACAACAACAGAATTCCCACCAAGAAGACAACGACCACCACCAACAAAATGACCAACAACAACCTTTGCAGGAACAACATGCACACCAAGAGGAAGGCACTGGACATCCCCAACAGCAGCAGTCTGAACATGGCGTCCAACAAGAACATCGACAAGCATACATTGATCAAAATGACCATCAACAAAACCAACAGGAAAACCAACAGCAACAAAAACAACAGGAAAACCAACAGCAACAAAAACATCAACATGAGGACCAACAATTGGACAAAGCAGAAAATCAACAACCCCAAGCCAGGGAAAATCAACAACCCCAAGCCAAGGATGAACACGGTGAAACTACGGAGATACCTATCAAGGACGAACTTTAAATCGAAATGAGTTGTGATTGAGATATCGGACCAGTAGGCCTACTGTCTAGATGTGCTGTACTTTATATTTAGCATTTAATTTATCTCCTAGGCGGTTGTTAAACCTGTCATGCGTTTTGACGAGGATGACGATAATGATAATAATAATGACGGGGACAGACGATGACAAATACCAGGCATTATATTTATGTTTAAATTATTAAATATGTTGATTGAATTTAAATGATGTATGATACTAATGTTGGCGATGATGTTGACCACTATGATAGTGGAAGGTACTGGTGGTGATGATGATTATGACGATAGTGACAATGATCATGACGAATAACTATGGTGATGATGTAGAGGTTGATATTGATGACTTTATTGTTACTATAATGATGATATTGTGGTCGCGAGCGTTGTCAATCTCATCGTCCTCGTGAATACCATCATCATTCCCGTCGTGATATTTAATCATTGCTGAATGTTCAATAATTTTTTTTGTACCATTCTTACCAATGTTTGCATGTATTAGTTACACTCAATGCCGTAGCCAGCTATTGGGACAGTCCCACACAATTTTTCTAATGGGTCCACAAAAATGGATCCACATTTTTAAAAATGGTTCCAAATTATGTAATTTTTGCATAAAATGGGTCCACTTTTTGAAAAATGCGTACAGATTTTTCATATTTTTGCTTAAAATGGGTTCACATTGTTTGAATTCACGCGTAAAGTGGGTCCACCCTGGCATTGGTTACACTGACAGTTAACCTATTAATTATAAAATCATGGGCTTTCGCTTTAAATCGGCGGAATAACATTAGCAGACGAGAGAACAACCTAATACTGGACGTAACTGATGGTCATTCACTTACAGTACGTAAAATTAATGCACAGAAAATCTACTTGACTCTTCACTCATAATTGATTTATTGAAAACACAATCAAAATACACACACATGCTTGTTGGCCAAGCCTACATAATGAAAGTTTGCAATTGAAACATAAATGAAATTAATTAATAATTATACAATTAAGTTAAAAAAGTAACAGTACGTAACATTTTGGTTAACTAGCAGCAATATTATCAGACTGCAGTATAGTGTAATATCATTATCTAAATCAGAAGTCCTACGGGTCATGTGACAGTCACATGAAGGCGCTGTAACATCAGAGGGCTTATCAAAACATGGCCTATTACACTACACTGCAGACAATAAAAGGACTGAAATAGGATGATTACATGGTGCAATTTGATTCGGCTGCATTTTACAGTACTTGCCTTAGGTGTCTTAAAAAAACAGTGGTGTAACGAATATAGCCATGAGGACTGGGGGAAAGGAAATGACAGGGGCCCTTGCGTGCCTTTTTGCTCATGAAGATTTTGAGGGGCGGGTAATCTCTCTACCCAATTCCATGGCTGAAAAGACTGGTAAAGGCTCTATATTACTGTGCTGGGTAGCAGTATGCCCCTTTTGGTTAGGGGTCCAGGGCTTCACCCATAAGGGCTCACAGGCGTTATGCCACTGCTTCAAAATACTACCACATTATTTCTAATTTCCAAGCATGTTTGTGAATTGTCTTTTTGCTGATAATATATAAAAGAATCAAAGATAATCTGAAGTCATAGAATTATAATTCTTTAATTTGAAAGACAAATGCAGCATTTCTTTGGTTACTATACAACTAATAGTTATATATACTTGCATTAAAAAAACAACAATTTTGGTTTTATGTGAAAGAAAATTAAATCATATATATATTTACATATCGCTGCTGAAGCAGCAACTAAAATAATCTTCCAATAATAGGTGAATATTTTCATTTCTTATTTTATTAACATCATAATTTTAAATAGTTTACCAATTCCTGTTATTTATTACTATCTACATGGTGTACCGTAAGCATTTAATATATTAATTTATTATATTATTAATAATATTTGCATCCAATACTTATAAAAATAGAACAATTTGTATAGTTTGTTGACTATGAATATAGTACTGAAAAACTGTACCCTGAATAAAAAATCAATAACTTGTCTTGTGAGTTTTTTGTCACTTCTCTCCACTTTCATTAAACATACTGTCGATGAAGAAATCCATGTTAATTTCATCACTGATTTGCTAAATTACATGAACTTAAAACATACGAAGTAAGCTATTCATATGTTGAATTTTAATATTGATGTTTTAGCCAATCACAGATGATCTTTCACTCCGTCTTCCATAATGTATTATTAGAGTGTTAATGTAAAAATTACTGTAGCATACAAGAGTGTTACTTATAATACACAGAATGACAGATCTCATTAGCATATTGTACTTATACATATACGTATTAAACATCAAATATGCGGGGATCTTTTGGATAGGAGACCTGCTGGACACCCGCAATGGCTAGCAGTTGATTGATTGGTCGATGGTCTTGATCTGCTTTGTCACGGTGCATGAAGTGCACTTGTTCTCCTAGATAGAAACATTTAAAGTCATATACAATCTAGTAATATAAACATTTAAGAGGATTAAAAGGTCTTACAAAGATGATTGACAGGTGATTACTTTGGCGAGATAAGGAGTAATTTGGGCCTAAAGAAACGATCAATGCTTTCTTCGGCGTAGACGTAAAATGATATAAAGGTGCTCACTTGGGCCTTCAAAGATAAAAAGGTGCTCACTTTGGCCTAAAAAGATTATAGAAAGATGTTCAATTTGGACTAGAAAGGTAATCGAGAGGGTACGTGCATGGTTTTGGCTTAGAAAGAGGGTGGGTAGTTAGGGTGCTTATTTAGGCATAAAAAATGAAACAGAGGTTTACTTGGGCCTAGAAAGGTTATGTGTAGAGTGCTAACTTAGTTACAGAAAGATGATAAAAAGGGGCTTACTTGGCCTAGAAAGAAAATATAAGGAGCTTATGCTGGCCTACTTAGAAGACGAGATGCTTACCTTTGCCTAGAATAAACGAACCACCTTGCTGTTTAACATCACCTTGGAAGTCTCCTGTTTTAATTGCTTTCCATGTACTTTTCAGGATTCCACCAATCAGGGAATGCTTCAAGTGCTTACTTCCTGAAATTTTTTATTTAAAATTCTGTAAACATACTCTAACACTCATATTTTTTATTAATGATATATTAATTTTTTTTTTCTAACAGCGAGTGAATATTCAGGATGTATTCTCCAAGTTATGGGTTATTCTCCTACATTTACCAAAATTTATACTATAAAGCTCAATTTTGCAAAAAGCATTATCCTAAAGATTATATAAAGATTTTGAAAACACAGCAATGTTTTTTTTTTAATTTTTCTTCACAAGTTACTAAAAAAAATCTTTAACAAGTGAACGAAATACTGCTTAAACTGACAAGATTTATGAGTTTGAACAGACAAAAATTATGAGTTTGAACAGACAAGATTTATGAGTTTGAACAGACAAGATTTATGAGTTTGAACAGACAAGATTTATGAGTTTCTATCAGTATCAGTATTTTAATTTGAGCATTCTGTTCCCAAGTAAGAAATTTTACTCAGAAAATAAATATTCATATTTGGCACCAATATTTTAGTGTGTGTTGGTGACTACACAAAGGTAGGATAGTCTAACTTAATAAATTTCCAAGAAAATATGTTTGGTATTACAGTACATGTCTATTTTAATTAACACTGTAGCCACCTACAGTATGTTAGCATTAAAGACACTAAGGTACAAATCATGTATAAAAATAGGCAGATGCCTTACATTCGTTTACATAGCATGAAAAAGTGTAAAATATCATAGTCTTTTTGGTAAATATGAATAGATACATATTTAAATCAACACCTTAAATTAAAACAAAATTAGTGCATAGAGTTTCATGTGGGCAATCAATACTCCACAACCTTATTTTTCTGAGGTGAAGACATGTCACTTCTATAAGTTTTTAAACACAGTAGAACCCCTATTATGGGGACAAATTCAAAATAAAAAAGTAGGAATATAAAAATTAGCAGTTTGGTTTACTGTTGTTTTTACTATATGGATGTACAGTGTTAATATACAAAACGTGCAATTTTGAATTGACGTGCCATATATAATTGCTCATTGGTCAGGTAGTTTTAGAGGGCCCATCACCAAACTTATAGGGAAGCTTATTTACATCATAATGTACATCTAGCATGATTTTGAAATAAACCAGAGCCTTGCAGGCGTCAACGTTCCTATGCATGATACACGACTTTTAGAAGTATATATACGTGTATATATATATATATATATATATATACATATATGTATATATATACGTATATATATATACACATATACATATACAAATATATATATATATATATTACATACATACATACATACAAGCGTTCATTTGTGCTTAGACCTCATGCTCCATGGTATTTGTGCGACCACCATAAAATGAAGGTTGAACGCCGACGTTTGGAACGCAAGTGGTTGAGATCTGGTCTTTTGGTAGATAAACAACTGTATCGAGGCCAATGTACCAAATACAACGAACATCTTTGCAAAGCTAAAGCCCATTTCTACAAAAATAAAATTTTGGGGTGTGATCAACGCAAGCTATTTCGTGTTGTTGACCAATTAACATCAGTTAGCACCTCAAACTGTCTTCCTTCATATGATGATCCCAAAGTACTTGCTAACAGGTTTTCTGATTTTTTCAAGTCAAAAATTGAAAAATATTGCAGCACACTGTTATCTGAC